TGACCTTGCTGGAGGAAGTGTGTCACTGGGCAGGAAGGGTGTGAACTTTGAGGTTTTCAAAAGCTTAAGCCAGGCCCAATGTCTCTTCCTGATCCAGATATAGAACTCTTAGCTACTTCAACAACATTCCTGCCTGCGTGCCCACCATGATAATGGACTAAATCTCTGAACTGTAAGCCAGTCCCAATTAAATGTTTTCCTTCATTAGAACTGTTGGCACTGGGCAGTGGTGGTGCATGCCTTGAATCTCACCCAGCACTCTGGAGGCAGAGGTAGGTAGATCTCTGTGAGTTCTAGACCAATCTGATCTACAGAGTGAGTTCCAGGAAAAACAACAACAAAAAACTTGCCATCGGCTAAATGGTTGTTCTTTTTTGCTTCCCAAGTTGGTGGCAAATGATTTATAAACAGCAGAGTGAAAGAATTTGATTATTTGAAAGGAGAGTTTAGAAAAAGGGCATGAAAGACTTTTAAAAGACACATTTCATTGAAAGAGAGTTGAGATCTACATACATGTTCCTAAAATCACCCGACTGTGATTGTAGCTAATCACATACCAAAATGCCCTATACACAGAGTCTCCAGGAACAGCAGCTAATAGTCCACTTTTGGGTATCTGTGGTAAATAAAAAAAAAAAAAAAACAAATCCCAGGCAGTGGTAAATCTAAGAAACGCTATTTGGGCACTGGAATGCATTTTATATGTAATTCTTTCTTGGTAGGAGACTTACCTTTCTAATTATGCTCCCTTTAGGCTATTATTAAAATCAGTCTGCATTTCCCAAGCATATGCCACTGACAGCCAGAGGACGGTAGTCCGCAGTGACAGGGTAAGTAAAGTCAACGTGGGATTAAGTGCTAGCAAATAGATGATCAATCAGTCGCAGAGTATATGTATGGGGCTGTGTGCTCACAAATGTGAACACGCAAAAGTGCTCTGCTTGCAACAGCACACAAAAAGCAAGAATTAAGGATACAAGTAAAGGGCAATGTTCTTGCAAATGGGTTTTTCAGAGATCTGAGTACAAGATAATGTAATCCTTCTTGGGTCACAATGTATATACCCCATTTGGGGTCATCTATTCTTAGCTTTTTATCTGCAAGGATTGATATATGAAGATCTTATTTGTTCTATTGCTCTTGTGGATTTTTTTCTTTAAATTTCCTATTAATTAAGAATACAAGCTGGGCAGTGGCGGCACGTGCCTTTAATAGCAGCACTCGGGAGGCAGAGGTAGGAGGATCTCTGTGAGTTCAAGGCCAACCTGGTCTACAAGAGTTAGTTTCAGGACAGGTACCAAAACTACGGAGAAACCTTGTCTTAAAAAAAAAAAAAACACACAAAAAATGAAGATACCAAAAACAGGGCTAGGAATGTAGTTCAGTTGCAGAACACTAGCTTAATAGACACAAAGTTCTTGTCTCCCTCCCCATCACCAGAAGACAGGAATACGGGAGAGGGGGGATGAGAAAGACACTAGTAATCACTAATAGTCACATGTATGCGGCTGTAGTCTCAGCTACTTGTGAGGCTGAGGTAGGAGGATCACGTGACCCCAGGAGCTGAGGGTCATCCTGAACAAAATAGTGAGGTCCAATTTTAAGAGGAGATGTCAAAAGTGCATTGCACTGTGTATTTTAATTCCGCACATGGACATTCCTGCTGTTAAAAAAAAAAGATTTCTGTAGGTTTTACTGATAAACGGTGAACTCTGAAATCTCTTCAAACACTGCTCCATAAACATCTAATTTTACACAAAAGTGGAGCTGGTGTATAACAACAATTCTTTAGGTTAACTTCGTGCCACGACTAGAATTCATTTACATATTTTCCTAATCCTTTCAACCCTGTCTTGTGTGGTGGCTGTCAATGCTAAAGGCATGAGAAGCATGAGACAGCAGTAAGAATAAAAAGCGTACTTTATACGAGGAATCACAAGTCCATTCCAGACCAAAACAGCTCCCTTGGCTCATCACCAAGTGCTCCCATCACCAAGCGCTCCCAATAGCTTTGGTCAGTGCTGTCTCAAGTGGTGATAGCAAGACTGAATCTTGACACAAATGGAGCACACTTGAGTCATAGCCCCAGAATCCCAGAGGGCTCATCAATATTGGCTTCTGAAAAACCAACCGAGATGATTCTGGGTCATGCGCATTAAAAATCCAAGTATGGCATCACTGAGAAGTCATGTCCCTAGTGTAGAGTCCTAAACTTACAGATTCGTTCTCATTAGGATCCTACACTATCAATATATTTAACAGAATTAGGAGAATAAAAGGTGACATTCTGATGTTGTGCTCCCCACAAGTGCTCTAATATTCAGTTTACGGACTGCTAGAGAAGGAACCCAGTGCTGCCTCACAAAGTGCTAGGCAAGCATCCCATCAGCTGAGACACATCCTCAGACTCCTTCAACTAGTTTTCTAAGCAGAGGGGGTTTTAGAAAAATTAAAGTTAAAAATAGAGAAACTCAATTTATGAGGTTATCAATACAATGCAGTTATATTTTCTCTGCTAAGTTTTGAGTCATATTTTCTGAGTGTTTTTCTCTTGTTTCCAAGAGTAAGATGTATTTTTGTATTTGCCAATGATCTCTCTCTCCCTCTTTCATTTCTCTAGTAGACATTGTTATTAACTTTTTAAACCATTTCACTATGTAAATAAATATTCGTTCAACACAAAATTGGAAGTAGAATTGTGTGCGGTACCATCTAAACTTATTTTATTATTGGTTCTATTATCACAACTGACAATTTATATTTCATGTAAACTTTTAGGTTTCTAAATGTCTAACTCATGTTTAAAGGTGCAAATCAATTCTTTGCAGTTTTTACTTTTATCCAAATACTAGGTAGCGTACAATCTAAGTTATAAAACTTTTGTCTTTTTTTGCCTTGCAATCCCCTTTCTGACAATCTCTACCATATTTTTTTTCTTAAATGCAGTCAGTGAAGTGCTTGAAAGAAAATAACTTTTATAAATAACTTGGTAGCACTCAACCCTTTCACATGCTGCTAACTTTGGAGAAGTCAGGTCCTCTCCTAAAGGCTTTTATTCTGCCTCATACTCAAAACTCGAAAGGTTTTCAAATACTCAACTTGCCTTTATTCTCCTTTTTTTTGGGGGGGGGTGGCGGTGAGGATAAGTCTGCCAGCTGGTAAGAAGCCAAAAGTTGTCCAGTCAGACCTGAATGGAAAAATCTATGGTTTGTTTATTTCATAGTTCAAGTTCAAAAGCAAGAGACAATTTAAATAATAAAAGGGTAACAGAGGAAAAATGTAAAGAAAGAAAACAAATCAGTAAAGGTCCAGAAAAACCTTCAAGAATATTTAATTTGGAAAATGTTATTGGTTTGGAGGACTTGACTGAAAGAAAACAGCTGGGCAGAGTTCAAGGTTTTAAATTAAAAACAATCTAACAAGGTCTACAGGGATAAATCTTTGAGCCATATTTCGGAGACCAGATTCATTTCTACCAAGTAAAAGTAATAGCAGTCTAAGCTAAAGAGGAAATTCCTCACAACTGAGGTACTTACTAACTATCTGCACATTTTCCAAGTTCTCACAAGGCAGCCCAGCTATTTACAATCTACTTTTCTTCGTTTATAAATGGAGCTAGCTATGTTTCCTGTGATTTGCTTTAAAAAAGAAAAACCACTTATACACACCAGCCAGAATATGCCTATTTTATTAACATCATGCTTTAATAAATAACTGGCTACTTCTAATAAAATTAAGCCTCTGTTTACAACAGTCCCCAATATTTCATTTTGACCATTCTGAAGAATTTGGTGTAAAAAGTTGAATGAAATGTAGACCCTGAGCTATCAAGTAATTATGTTTCAATATAAAAATAGAGCTTTCCTCTTACAACTGAAGATTGAACAATAACGTAAAACAACCTGTCTATGGGCTTCTGGCATCTTAATGACTTAGAGAGCAGAAGAACCTTGCACAGTGGTAGTGTTTCTAAAGACTTCTGAGAACTCCTTTTGAAATGATCTGCTACATTCTCCAGGTTTTCTGACCAGTCATTTGGACACAAGAAAAGGGCTTCCAAGGGGGCAAGGCAGTGGGAAAGTCTTTGGCCTGGGACAAGTTAGGGCTTTTGCTAGTTCATCTATGTGGCTAAGGGCCTCCAAGGAGATGAGGTCTTCTTAGCTCTATGTACCCCCACTCCTCCCACAAAGGATAACATACAAAAATCTGGACACCCAGCTCTCCTCTCGGTGAGCTCCCTGGGCAGGATGGATAGCAGATGGCTACAAACCAGTCTGGGTCCTTCATTTAACTGATCAAAAGTGAATGGCAAGAAAAAAAAAATCCAATTAGATCACCTTACACTCTTTTCAAAACTGGAGTCTACAAAATGCAAACGTACACACAGACAAAAACTCTGCTTGGGTGTTGACAGCTATTCCCTGAGCCCAGGCTGTACCCCAGTTCTGGCTAGCTGCCAGACAGTTCCCTTTTATGGCACTCTTCCCAGAGTGGTCAGTGGGTCAGGAATCTGGATTCCTCCAACACAGGGGGACAAATGAGATTGTTGGTCACCTGCTACTGCCATTGGGTTAAAGGACCAGAGTATCAGCACGGACGCAGAAACTGGTACATGGTGGCTCCCTAAGCTGCCTGGTTTTTAATATATACCCTCCAAGTCCAAGAGTGTACATGGGGTAAGTGGGGCGCCCTGAGTGCCTTTCATCTTTCAAGGGCACCTACATCAAGAATCTTTATTTTCCTGGATCGGGTACACTTTGAGTATGGGTGGATTCAAGAATTCAAGATTGCACTCAATACAAATGGGCGGTCTGCAGTCTCTTCCAGAACCCAGTTCTGAGTGGAGTCGAACTCTCTTCTTAGACTGGTGTTTGAATGCAACCTGACAAGTGGCTCAGAAGCCACTACATTCTGTCCTAATTGAACACAAACGGAAGAAAGAAACCTCAAAGTTGTCTCCACTTCTCCAGATAAGGCAGTTCAAATAAGAGGGATAAATGGAAATTTTACGGCTTGTTGGGCTTTTTCCTTTAATAAGATAACATGATAAATAAACCTGCTTCTGTACAGCTATTTAATATTTCAGAAATACGTACATGTTACATGCCAAGAAAGGACCCTGGTTTTCTTGTGAGAAACAAGGTGAGATCATAATTCAAAAAGAAAAGCCCCACAAATAAAATGAGCAAAAAAACAAAACAAAACAAAACAAGAGTGGTAAATCACAAATGCACAACTAACTACAGCTCTGTACCTACACTGTTAGCCACATTGAACACGATTTCTGAAGGAGCAGAACAAACTTAAACGCAGGAGTTCCTGCTGTCCCCTCAAACTGAATGAGAAAACAAAGTCAACATTGCTCAAACCAGTGGCCACATAGTAAAAACTGTACATTTGCTGTCCATTCATTTAAAAAGCAAAGTCACTAGGATGGTAAAAAAGTGAGAACTGGTGCCTCTGAACTCTCTGACGATGAACACTTTTACTCGGAGTTTCACAATTATCTCCACTCCCTCTGCACAGCGAAGAACAAGAGGCAGAGGACAGTGAGGAGATAGGGCTTTGCCTCAGCACGGGCACCGGCACTGTCGGCTTTCTCATTGGCACTCTTCCCAGAATGGTCAGTGGCATTGTACTCAAACTCAGAAGGACACTGCTGATATTCACATCCACTTCCACTTTCTTCTCCGCTACTTTCATCACCTGCATTGAAAAGAGAACAGAGATTTCAGGGCACATAGTCTCATCAGGTCAGAAAAGAACAAACCCCATACGTCAAAATCACCAACGCTTACTGATATCAAAGAAGTCCACGTCGTTGCCGTTGTAAGCATTCTTCATTTTATTGGTCATAACCCGAAGGGCCATGATTTGACGAAGGATCAGTATGTCTGGTTTGGTGGTGTCGACCTGGACTTCTGGGTTGTTGCCCTGGTTGGCCAATCCATTTCCTGTCACTGCAAACAGGTACCTGAAAGTAAGACATGACTCCATTGAGATGATCAGTAAGTAAGTATAGGCGAGCAAAGACTTTGCTGAACGTCAGGGTCTCCACCCAACAGAGTGGAGTAGACATTCTTCCATTTACAATCAACTCTGATTGCTCCTTCTCCCTCCTGGGACTCTATAGTTTCTGTGATCTGACTGTGACCTCTTTTGTGGCGATTGGACTGGTAAAGAAAAACACTCTCTGAATGGGTGCTTATCTCAGTCACGGAGTGTGCCAGGGTGGGATACATGGAATCATCAAAGAGAATGTGATCTTTTGAGAAGTGGCGCTTTTAGAAGGCCAGGACCCTGAGCCAAGGACCACGGGCACTGAATGTTTTTAACAGCCCTTAGCACTACAGTAGAACTACTGCCAAGTCCAGCCTTTGTAAGTATCTGGGTGCCTTTTGGAACACCCAAATGCCAAAGCCCATGCCTAAGGACACCTAGACACTTTCTGTGGCATCACTAGCCACGGAGAGCTGCTTCACTTCGGTCACAGCGGAGACGCTGCTTTTTCCCTGGGGGAGGCTGACCTGCTTTTGCCCTTGCCGTTCCAGCAGTCATCCTCATTGCCATTCCCTGCCGCCATCCTCTCGTCATTGCAAACAGTGCTTGGGAGAGAGGACCAGAACTTCTTAGCCTGTTTCAGTTTTTCCTTGACATCAGTAACCTAAGGAAGAAAATTTAAAAAACGGCTCATCTAAGTACAAATGCAAAACTACAATGTATGATCCCAGCACTCGGTATTCGGGAGGCTGTAAATAACCCCTCACACCCTTGCTTCTGTACACAACCCTGAAATAAACTCATTGACCCTGTCTCTCCTCTCTCTGTCTCTCTCTCATACACACACATTATATAAGTAGAAGGCTCACTAGTTTAGAGGACAACAAGAAAGGGAAATGGGGATAAATTTGATCAAAACATATTATATTCACTTTTTAAACAAACAACGGGGCTGGAGAGATGACTCAGTAGTTAGGAATAAACCCTTAGTGCACACCTGATAGCTCACAGCTATCTATAACTTCAATTTCAGGAGATGCGATGCCCTTTTATGAACTCTACACTTAACCAGGAATCCAAGTGGTACACACACATAGATGCAAGCAAAACGTCCATACACATGAAATAAAACAGCAAGAAAATAATGTTGTTGACATAAATCCATCTTAAAATCTAAGCCAAACCCAAACTATTTATGGATGTGCCTTTTGATCATTTCTAAATAGCTCTAGATCATATGCAACTCAGTGTTTCAAGTTCAGACTGAAGGAAAATACCAAGAAATAAACAATCACTCAGAGGAATTAATACTTCAAGTGCAAACTCTAAAGAAGTTGCCTGGATCCTGGATCCACTGTCTACTTCCTCATGTAACTGCCACCCAAGCTCCGCCAAGCTCCGTAGCCTGTAACACAGTTTTTTCACCCTAGGCTTTCCTGGTCTGAATCAAGCGTCCACACCACACAGGAAAACTTCACTGGCTTTATTCTTCCTTTCACATCAGTATCCTGTCGGACTTCCTGGGTTCCCTCCGACTATGGCACTAGTACTCCCAGATTGCCATTGGACATTGCCGTGTGTCACCTGTCTATAGCCTAGATTTTTCTCTTATCCTACCATCATCGACTTTGACCTTTCACAAGCCTAGACCACGCCACTCTGCCCTCAACCCACTTCACTTTAAAATCCTATATACTAAAAGGCACCATGGAAGGTTTTTTTAAAAAACATATTTAAAAGCCAACAAAGACAAAGTGAATCAAGGTTGTTTTGCTGCATGAAGAAATTTACTTTGAAAGGGTGATTAGGAAAGAGTAGCCAATGGCAAAGATGTCCTTTCTACAAGGACTTCTGCAGGCACTTCGCTTCCTGATATACAAGGCTGATTGTATTTTAGGTATGGTGCAGATAATGTGAAGATGCTTGAAATTGGCATTATTTACCTTATTGGTCAAAAAAAGTAAATCCATGCACGACATTAACAAGTTAAATGTTATCACATGAAATCAACTCAGGATTTTAGGTTGTTTACTTGTGAGACTACTTTGGCTCTTACTGAACAGCTTAGACTGGCGCTTCAGTCCCTTTGTTGAGGTCTTTGAAGTCCGAGGCCCTGTCTTACTGCCCTGAGCTTCCCCTTTTGCATAACCTAGTGGCGGGTATATAATAGATGCTCAGTAAATTCACAATGGCACTGAAGAGAAGTCTGGAGATGAAACTTGTTACAACCCATTTCCTTGACTATATAGAACCTTTCTGAGACAGAAAACGAGGCACATTTACTGCCATCCACATACAACAAGATTAAAAAGTTAAACACCTAAAAGACTCACACATGTACGCCTTCCAACTAAAAGTTCATTTTTTTGAGCCAATGTTTGGAGTTTGTTGCCATTAAACACACCCATTCCTGCTAAAGTACTCACCAGCCGGTCCAAACTAGTGCCAGCGGCTGTGGTTGGGCGTTGCTCTGGATGATAAGGCCTGAATCGAGCGCTGAAGGCACTTTCAGAGATGGACCGAGAAATTCGGCCAGCCGGGAGAGGCTTCGGAGGCCCACAGCCTTGAAAAACCTACAGGGGAAGTGAGTTCATATTAGGGATGTTACTGACAAGGCAGAGGGCGTGTCTTGCTGTCCCGCCCAGCATCCTGCCTGCAATACCTTCTGAGACACTTGCACACTATTATCTTGCATGTTCATGATAGCATCAGAAATCTTCACATCGATAGGATCCATAACCGACTCAATGTTGAAAGGGCCCTCCAGCCTCTCCGCCACCATCAGCATAGCGTCTAGTACGGGTTGGAAAAAGACAATACAGCACAGACAGAAAAATCATTAGTTCAGATTTGACCATCAGCCTGATCATTTTATTGCTGTTGCTTTTTTCAGAAGGAGGACAGGAAGGGGGAAGGGGAAGGAGATAATACAGTGTTTTTCCCATTTTTTTTAATTTTCTAGCTATTTCTATAATTTCAAATTGTATCTACACATTATGTATCAGCAGTTTGCTAGTATGAAGGAGCCAGATGAATGTTTTGCTCTGGGGCAAGGAAATTCAATCGGGAATCTCCCATCTTTTGGATAACCCACTCCTTCATATGTCAGCCAGCACCCAGCTGACAATCTGGCTAGGGACAGAGGAACATGCCTCTTCTCCCAGACACTTTCCTGGGATCTTTTCCTTTCAGGTTCCATTTACAAGAGTTGAAAACATAAATCAGTTACAATCCTGGCATACCAATTCTTTTCTTTCATTTCTCTTAAAGAGACATTGCAGATCCTTGAGTGCACATTTGGATAAAAGAAATGAGAGCGTTCTGGGAATCCTAATGACTTTGAATAATGAAACTTTGAGGCGTGCCACTTTGGGGTTAAGATAACCCTGTTTACACACGTGAGGGCCTCAGCTGATTTAGTAGTACTATGCATGCTTTGGGGGATTCCAGTGGAATCACGAGACAAAGCACAATGCACAAACATTGTCCATTTGTGGTATGTGGTTTCAGCGATACCTGGAAGTCACTTTTAGGCTTTGGAGGGCACTGTCATTTCCTAGCAAGTGTTGGATTCCTTAGTGAAGACAAGCTGTTATTTATTCCCATGTGTGCCTTTGGGGATTAGGATTTGGTATCTTTGGCTGATAACTTGCACAAAATTAGAACTTTTGGAAATGAACCCCCCCCCCCAAGGCGGGAGGGAAGGATGTGTTAATTATTGACACAATATAAACTTTTGAAAAACCATTTTTTTATTACTATGTGTGTGTGTGGGGGGTGTGTTTGTGTCGGTCTGTCTGTGGGCATGTGCAAGTGGTGGGAGTGCCTGTGAAGCCACAGTTGGTTGATACCCTGGAGCTGGTGTTACAAGTACTCATGAGGTACCTGCCTCATGGTTGGGTGATGGGAACCAACTTGGGTCCTCTGCACGAAGGAGATGCGCTCTTAGCAGCTGGGTTTCAATAGTTAACGGTGCTTTCTCCTTTACACTCCAGAAGTTAGATCGCCACTGTCTACTCCTATAGGTACTTCAATGTCAAGAACGAGAAAAGAGTGTCCCCTTTCAGACACCCAGCAGCTGGGTGTCCCTCTCAGCTGCTACCCCAACTGAGCTTCTACCTAAGCGTTCTAGTGGGAAAAGGCTTTAAGTATCATCCGAAAAATGAAATCAAAGTTGGTTATCAACTTTTCACTTTCAACCTAGAATAAGCAACTACACAACACTTTAGAAAGCGTGAGGCCACAACAATGAACAGATTCCTGTGCCGTGTGATGCTTGAAAGTAATAGTAAGCACCAATAAAATGATGTCTCTAACCTTTAAGTGAAGGCTGAAAGCATGAATATGCCATTGTACTAGAGGGGAGGGGGGGGAAATGCTTTTGATGTGCTAGAGAAAGGCGACTTTTGCAAACAAGCGGAGCACAGCGTAAACGTGTTTGTCACTGTCAAAGCCGAGGGACCCCCACATACAAAAAGCACATTCCTTCAAAAGCCAAGAAATCGTGAGCTCCAAATCAAAATATTATGAATAAATAACAAACTTCCCAACTTCAGAGGTTTTAAAGGGGGGCGGGGTACATTTTGTACCTATTTATTCCCCTAGTGGTGAGGAAAGGCAGGCCAAATCGATCCCTAATGTGTTTGTGAAAGCCTGAAAGGAAACATAAACCCCAATTCTTCTGGCTGTTTGGCGTCTTTGTAAACTCAGGGCCACTGGCCATACACAAGGGCCTGGGAATGGAGAGGGAACCCAGGCCTTTGTCGGGGCCGGTGCCATGGCGTTGCGTGTCGCACAGCTGAAGAATGCGACTGAGGATCCATTCTGCCTGTGGTTCACAGACCAAAGCCAAAGCTGCCTGGAACCCTGCAGGAAGTCAGGACTGGCTAGCCACCGCCCCTTCGACAGCCGCCACCAGTCCCCCAAAGAAATGCCGAAGATGGCTGGTTTGGTATTTTACTTTCCTTGTGTGGTTGACAGAGGCCACAATTCTCATATGCATGGGATATCATACTGCTTCCTGCCTCCGCCAGGAACTGACTGGTGTCCCCGTCAGCAATTCCAATACTAAATTCCCATTGGCAGCAACATGTGACATTAACAGGGTTGGCTCTGAGTCAACTGAATGCTAAGAGAGGCACAGCATGTGACACACAAGTTGAACCTTAGAAGAATTTATGATTCTCCGAAAACCAGCTTCTTTTGGGGGTAGTGGAAAGGCAGACATTTTTTTTTTTACATGAAGGTTGAGTTTCCAAAGGTGTTTCCCATATTTGGACCCGAAGTTGGACCAGTCCTGAGGAAGGCTGACAAGACTTGAGCACTTAGAACTTGTGGTGATGCAGTTGCGGAAACATGGAGAACCCAGCAACAAGGCTGATTTGGAAAATCCCTGCTCGTTTTGAGAAAGAGTCAGGACTAGCTCAACACACTGGTTTTAAGGGGCCCCTCCCAACTCACCCAAAAAAGCATCCCTTTCTTGGGAATCAGTAAGAGTGGGAGGAGACAAGTCAGGGTAATGGCGAGGAGTATGATCAAATATATTATCAGCATGTATGAAAATATCATATGAAACCCATTATTAAATATAATTAATGTATGCTCATAAAAAACAGTGTTGAAAAAGTATTCCGTTCTCACTAGGGAAAGTGATTACTTTTTCATTGTGTCTCCAATAAATAATCAGAAAGCCACATCTTTAGCCTCCCAACCTGACTGAAGAGCCAAAGGCAGTTTCCCAACTTAACCCCAAGATGTGACTTTCAAAGGGATGAAACAAATCCTTGACTACTCAGTAACTGCACAGTCATTTACACAGCAAAGAAAAATTCCAGCGAGAGAGAGAATATGAATATTTACAGCAAAGGCATGTAATTGGGACTGAATTCTACAACCATGAAGGAGATTAATTAAACCCTTGTGAAAAATCCATGAAAAAGAACAGGAGATTAACATGTCTATTATGTCTGGCCTTTTTTATATCAGCTTCATTAGAAATAAAGGGTAGTATATCCATTAAAAATGACGCTGACATACAACTGCATACTACATCACTCCAAGAGCATCATTTAAAATAGCTGCAGAAAATCAATTCCAAAATCCTATCTATTTTCACTTGGGTTTAATTCCGTTTCTTCACAGATAGCACACGTAACTTTAAAAATACACTATAAGAAACACAGTTGAAGGCTGAAAACATTAATCAACCAGCCCAAATATGGTTTTGATATGCTGTGTATCTGGAGGGTCGCAGGTGAGACGGAGAGGAATTTGGGCTTTGGTATAAGGATGTGATTGGGCCTTGGTAGTGGCTGCCGCTGAACAGGCTGCAATAACTGAATGTAAGATAGAATTGTCCCTGTACTGCCCTCAGGAGAGGAAGTAAAATTCACTGTCACCAGAAGCTTTTCATACTGCATGCCAAACAACTCGCTTGCCCCAGAGAAAAGCCTACTATGTTCAAAAGCTAAGAAGCCCCACTGTCTTTAAGAACTAAGTTTAGCTACCTGTGATACACCTGCAATTTCACCCATTCGAAGGCAGGGGCTAGAGGAGGGTGAGTTGGAGGCCAGTCTGGGCTACATGGCAAGAAAGAAGAAAAACGACAACCAACCCAAAACAGCAATTTAAGAAGAAAAAGTAAATGAATCACAAACTCCACAACTGCCTATGGGGAGGGTATAATTGGTGTAGAGGAGGAAGAGGATGACCTTAGTTAGATAGGGCGATACCATAGTCTTTATTTCCATAGGACATTTTTCATTTCTCCCCTGGTTTCATTCCAGGCATGCCACACCATTTGGGTTTGTGTGTACTTATGGTTTTATATTTCCCCTCCCATGAGATTTTATTTTTCTGTATGTAAAAGATTTGTTTCCCAGGGTTTCCACAGCTTTGAGCTATGTAGGCCACAATTATGCTTCAGAGTGTAATATTTACATCTTTTTCTCCCAAGTCTCTATGTTTAAGAATTGGTGGGACCCAATTTATTGATGCACTTTCAAACAGCCTTAATATGGCAATTCACTCTCGCTCAGTCTAAAATGCATTTTCTTACTCCAATTTCCTCTACTCCAAAAAATTTAAACCTTCAACAAACAAAATGAAACAAAATAAAGCAAAACCGAGCCAGCAAATTACATGCACGCTCCCATGATAAGGAAGACTTAGCAAAAAGTTGGTTCCTCTAAAGGCATTTCAATGTGCAGTTCTGCGAATGTGACCGGGGGATGAGAACAAATTGGTACTCTCTAAGCATGTATGTACTGTTCCGCCAATGCTGGCCTGTGTGACCTCAATACCGGCCAGGGAGCTTTCAGAAGCGGTGTGCACAATGGGCACTAATGTAGACGGCTGCTGGCTGTTTACATCAGGCTTATGGTTTCCCCGAAATCCTAACTGGCCTTCTCAGAACCTAGACAGTTTGCAGTGCTGTCTGGGTTCTAGTAATGGCTTCCTAATTGGCAGAAATCAGACTCAATAGTCCTACTTCCTAAATAATCAGAGAAAGAATCCGCCTACTCATGTAAGAGGACTCTACCATGGCTAAGTCCCCTACGAAAACAAATTCTGTAATTTTCCACAAAAGAGTTCTTCGGATCCGATGGTCAAATGGGCATCTGGTCAGTTTCCCAAAGATTTGGGAGGCATGTAAAAAAAAGACTATAGTGTGTGTGGGAGAGTTGTGTGTAGGGGCAGGGGTTGTGCCAGGATAACTTCAGGATCCCTAAGAATGCTATGGTCACATTATTATTATTATTATTATTATTATTATTATTATTATTATTATTAT